AGGCATTGTATGTACTAGCTCTATCTATATATCAATCCATTAATGTAACATCACTTGTATGTATGTACCTTACCTGAATAAACATATTTATTTATTTATATATATATATATATATATATATATATATATATATATATATATATATATATATATATATATATATATATATATATATATATATATATATATATATATATGTCGTACCTAGTAGCCAGAACTCACTTCTCAGCCTACTATTTAAGGCCCGATTTGCCTAATAAGCCAAGTTTTCCTGAAATATTATATTTACTATAATTTTTTTCTTATGAAATGATAAAGCAACCCTTTTCTCTATGTATGAGGTCAATTTGTTTTATTGGAGTTAAAATTAACGTAGATATATGACCGAACCTAACCAACCCTACCTAACCTAACCTAACCTATATTTATAGGTAAGGTTAGGTTAGGTAGCCAAAAAAAGCTAGGTTAGGTTAGGTTAGGTAGGTTAGGTAGACGAAAAAACATTAATTCATGAAAACTTGGCTTATTAGGCAAATCGGGCCTTGAATGGTAGGCTGAGAAGTGCGTTCTGGCTATTAGGTACGACATATATATATATATATATATATATATATGTCGTACCTAGTAGCCAGAACGCAATTCTCAGCCTACTACGCAAGGCCCGATTTGCCTAATAAGCTAAGTTTTCATGAATTAATTGTTTTTCGACTACCTAACCTACCTAACCTAACCTTACCTAACTTTTTCGGCCACCTAACCTAACCTAACCTATAAAAATAGGTTAGGTTAGGTTAGGTAGGGTAGGTTAGGTTCGGTCATATATCTACGTTAATTTTATCTCCAATAAAAAAAAATTGACCTCATACATAATGAAATGGGTAGCTTTATCATTTCATAAGAAAAAATTATTGAAAATATATTAATTCAGGAAAACTTGGCTTATTATGCAAATCGGGCTTTGCATAGTAGGCTGAGAAGTGCATTCTGGCTACTAGGTACGACATATATATATATATATATATATATGTATGTCGTACCTAGTAGCCAGAACGCACTTCTCAGCCTACTATGCAAGGCCCGATTTGCCTAATAAGCCAAATTTTCATGATTTAATTATTTTTCGACTACCTAAGCTACCTAACCTAACCTAACCTAACTTTTTCGGCTACCAAACCTAATCTAACCTATAAAGATAGGTTAGGTTAGGTTAGGTAGGGTTGGTTAGGTTCGGTCATATATCTACGTTAATTTTAACTCCAATAAAAAAAATTGGCCTCATACATAATGAAATGGATAGCTTTATCATTTCATAAGAAAAAAATTAGAGAAAATATATTAATTCAGGAAAACTTGGCTTATTAGGCAAATCGGGCCTTGCATAGTAGGCTTAGAAGTGCGTTCTGGCTACTAGGTACGACATGTATATATATATGTATATATATATATATATATATATATATATATATATATATATATATATATATATATGTCGTACCTAGTAGCCAGAACGCACTTCTCAGCCTACTATGCAAGGCCTAATTTGCCTAATTAGCCAAGTTTTCATTAATTATTTGTTTTTCGACTACCTAACCTACCTAACCTAACCTAACCTAACTTTTTCGGCTACCTAACCTAGCCTAACCTATAAAGATAGGTTAGGTTAGGTTAGGTAGGGTTGGTTAAGTTCGGTCATATATTTACGTCAATTTTAACTCCAATAAAAAAAAATTGACCTCATACATAATGAAATGGGTAGCTTTATCATTTCATAAGCAAAAAATTAGAGAAAATATATTAATTCATGAAAACTTGGATTATTAGGCAAATCGGGCCTTGCATAGTAGGCTGAGAAGTGCGTTCTGGCTATTAGGTACGACATATATATATATATATATATATATATATATATATATATATATATATATATATATATATATATATATATATATATATATATATATATATATATATTTATATATATATTAGTATATTTTGGTAGCAGTCTTTCCTTTAGACATATATTATTAAATATGACCGAAAAAGTAAGATTAATAATTCTAACACGAATTTTCTCAATGTTTCTTACATTTTTCTTCACTGTTGATGGTAACTGAAAAATCAATTCTCCAAAATTCATTTTTATTTCTAGTCTGACGCGACACTTGAGCGCGTTTCGTAAAACTTATTACATTTTCAAAGACTAGTTTACACACACACAACTATAACTGAATAGAGTTTAAACATCTTCGATTTTTTATACCTGCATTTGGGTGAGGTGATATGCTACAACAGTTTTGGATGAGGTGAAAACAAACTTTCAACACAAGACAGAACACGAAACAATGGGTATAATATTTTGTAAGTTAAAGGGAAGAATGGAAGTAACTGCAAAGGGCCTATTGGCCCATATTTCTTGATGCTTCTATATTGGTGCGGAGTCTTGAAGTGGGTAGAATATAGTTGTGCATTAATTGGCTGTTGATTGCTGGTGTTGACTTCTTGATGTGTAGTGCCTCGCTGATGTCGAGCCGCCTACGATCGCTGTATCTATCGATGATTTCTGTGTTGTTTGTTAAGACTTCTCTCGTGATGGTCTGGTTGTGAGAAAAGATTATATGTTCCTTGATATAGCCCTGTTGTTTATGCGTTGTTAATCGCCTGGAAAGAGACGTTGTTGTTTTGCCTATATACTGAGTTCTTTGTGGCTTACAGTCCCCAAGTGGACATTTAAAGGCATAGACGACGTTGGTTTCCTTCAAGGCGTTCTGCTTGGTGTCTGGGGAGTTTTTCATGAGTAGATTGGCCGTTTTCTTTTGTTTTATAGTATTTTGTTTTATAGTATATTGTCAATTGTATTTTCTGATTTTTGTCTGTAGGGATAACTTTCCTATCAACAATATCTTTCAGGACCCTTTGCTCCATTTTATGAGCCGTCGAAAAGAAGTTCCTGTAAAATAGTCTAATAGGGGGTACAGGTGTTGTGTTGGTTGACTCTTCAGAGGTTGCATGGCGTTTTACCTTTCTTCTTATGATGTATTCAACGAAACCATTGGAGAAGCCGTTGTTGACTAGGACCTGCCTTACTCTACAGAGTTCTTCATCGACTTGCTTCCATTCTGAGCTGTGGCTGAGAGCACGGTCGACATAAGCGTTAACAACACTCCTCTTGTACCTGTCTGGGCAGTCACTGTTGGCATTGAGGCACATTCCTATGTTTGTTTCCTTAGTGTAGACTGCAGTGTCGAAACCTCCGCTCCTTTCCATGACTGTTACATCTAGAAAGGGCAGCTGGGGCTACCACCTACAGGATGGGTATGCATGGGATCACCACCACCAATAGGATGGGTATGGGGTCCACTACCACCCTCAGGATGGAAATGAGGTCCACTACTACCCACAGGATGGGTATGGGGTTCACTACCACCCCACAAGATGGGTATGGGGTCCCCTACCACCCACAGGATGGGTATCGGGTTCACTACCACCCACAGGATGGGTATGGGGTCCATGCACTACCACCCACAGGATGGGTATGGGGTCCACTACCACCCACAGGATGGGTATGGGGTCCCCTACCACCCACAGGATGGGTATCGGGTTCACTACCACCCACAGGATGGGTATGGGGTCCATGCACTACCACCCACAGGATGGGTATGGGGTCCACTACCACCCACAGGATGGGTATGGGGTCCCCTACCACCCACAGGATGGGTATCGGGTTCACTACCACCCACAGGATGGGTATGGGGTCCATGCACTACCACCCACAGGATGGGTATGGGGTCCACTACCACCCACAGGATGGGTATGGGGTCCATGCACCACCACCCACAGGATGGGTATGGGGTCCACTACCACTGTTAAGATAGGTGTGAGGGTCCACTATAATTCACAGGATGGGTATACAGGAGTGAATAATAAATGAATATAACTAATAAGTCATCTAGACCACAACCTCAAAATAATCTCTCAACATCAATATGCAAATAGATTAGCAGTGATGCAATGAACTATACGGAATGAATGATTATAATCAATTATAGGCAATTTGTTACAATTACACGTAGCTTATCCCGTTGAAAACAGGTTCAATAGGGAATAACTCAGCATACACCTAAATAGTCTAGATGAACCGTTTTCTTTGTGTTTAATGAATGATCAGAGCCAATTGTTTGCACATTTGTGTAGATCAATGTATTGTCCTGTTATGTGTCCCCGAGGTGACAAGTGCAAGCGAGGTGTATGGCAGGAGCGGCCGGCCATTAGACCCGGAACCCTTAACGAGGGAACCATAGGTATAAGAGTGTAATGAGCTAGTTTGTGTAGTTGGCAGTGGTGGTGGAGAATTACTCCCAGTTTTCCCCCAACTCGTGACGTTTATTCCCTGTAGCTGCTAAGGTTGCCACCATTGCCTAACTATACATATATAACTAGTAATGTATCAGTCGTGTGATGTTGAGGAATAGTGTATTAAGCCAGTTATTGAATGGTGGAAGTTGTGGAGAAAAGAATAAATGACGAACACAGATGAAATTAGAAATATTGTCGATACAGGGAAATCTGCAAAATGCGCAGATACGAAAATGAAGCATTTAGTCAAGATATATCTGACATAAAGAGTTTTAGAATATACGTTTCACCCTTAAAGGAAAGAATAAGGTAGAAAATTTTAAGTAGATATAGGAATGTGAGTAACATATAGCCATATACATAGGACCCCCCCTCCCTGTCACCACGGCTAACCATAGCCCGTGCTTCTTGCCCCGCTCCTGTGCCAGATAAGTTACGGACTCACCATAGCCCGTGCTACTTGAAACTTGTTCCGAGTAACTGAATCTGTAACAACAAGAACCCTGTCACCAGGGAGGAAATCTTCCCTCGCCGCAATGGGTACATTTCCCCCGCCACGGTGGGGTACATTCCCCGCCGCGGTGGGTACATTCCCCCGCCGCGGTGGGTACATTTCCCCGCCGGGAGGGTTGGTGAGGGAGGCTCGAGAGGGCAGCACCAGCGCCCACCATAACACACTCCCACCCCCACTCCTCCCCTTCCTTCCTCGAGGGCCTCCAGACCACAATAGATGGAGCAGACGTGAGGACGGGGGCCAGGCCACACACACACACACGCCTCCTGACGCTCCCCGCCAGGGACACGGGTGCAGGCGTCACACTGGTGAGATGCCACACACGCCACACCAGGCTGCCGTCCATGGCCGCCTACACTAGCCCTCATAAGGTCAGTGCTGTGGCTGCATTTGGGCTCATTAGTGAGTTATTTTTGGTGTTTCTTGTATCCCCCCGCTTGTGAGGGGTGGGGGGGGGTTGGTGGGGTTATGTCTGGAGGAAGTCTTGTGTGGGGTCGTACACTGTCTGTTCTGGGGCTCCTTGCCTGAATTTACCTGAGGGGTACTGGCACTCTAGTGGCCTCCCATGAGGACAGGCAGCTGGTGGGTTGTCATAGGTGCTCCTATTTATGGTGATTTAAGAGGTTGACATGTTGGGTAGACTTAACTTGAGTACTATTACGGATGTCTTTAGTACTGTAGGTATTCGTTAGTTTGTATATGTATGGCGCGTCCTCGGGAGCCTCGACTATTGTATGTTACAGCGGCTATGTTACGCACAGTTCCTGTGTTGGTTGTCTTGATGTATGTCGTTGTCGTTTTAAATTTGTACTGACAGGCGTCGTGGCGACCTGATCTTGGCTGAACGGGCAGTTTGATGGCAACTGTTGCACGATGATTGTGGTTGTAGTACTGTTGCCAATGTACTTGTGGAAATAATCTTGCTATATGTAAAGTTTCTAACATTAAACATTTATAATTGGTTGTGATACACTTCGTAGTTTTTGATTATTGTAGAGCTCGCGCTTGTAATTACAAATTTCCAGTAGTTGCCGCGCTGGTTGACATCCCTCCAGACACCATTGTGAGGCACGGCTTACTCTAGCCTTTCCTACACCATTGCATAAATTCTCATTGAGGACCAGAAGTATGAACTTTGGCTTATAAATCCCCCCCCCCCATCCCTGCCCCCGCAGCTAACTACGGTACTTCTCTCTAGGATCCAATTCAAATTTGCCAAACTCAAAGTACAGTACTATTTTATTGCTGGATGAACACAAGTGAAAAATGTTCTAAATTGTATTACAGTACTTCTACCAAATGCCAGACTTCACTTTCAATCTAGAGGGCACTGGAGATTGTGGCCCTTGGGTAGAGTATGATTACATCACATCACATGCCAAGAGTATTAAAGGGGGTAACAATTGTTACCAATGTATACAGTACTTTTTAATGTTTTACTTCATTCCTCTTGGGCTTTGGCTCCAGTGTGGGCACACCTTGCAGGTTTCAAAACAAATTAAGCCACTGAGAGTTCGTGAGCGTTGTGCAGGTCTTGGACCAATACAGCTGCCTCCAGTTTGACATTATAGATTGTATGTTTAACTGCCAATTCTACAGTTTTGAGCTTTGTCTAACATGTTTTTGTAAATTGACCTTTAACATCTTGTTTATTTTTATTATAAATACTAGAGCCCTATTTATCTGAGGGCCACTAACACTAGCGGCCTTGACAAGGACAAGACGTGGTGAGCGTGTCAGACACCCCCTCCCCCCCCCCCTCCCATCCTCTCCCCATTTGCTTTGAGGTTCCTCCAGGTTGATTTAAGATTTTAATTTTTTTTTTTATAATTTGCAAAGCTTGTAAACATGCTTAAAAAATGAACCTAGGTAAACCCCCCCCCCCCCATTACTTGTACTATTTGAAATTAGAATTTACCTTTTATGGTTGTATGGTTGGATTTTCAGGCAGGACGCTTCGTTTTCATAAGATGCTTGTGGACTTTTTTTGTCCTTAAACATTTTTCTTAGTCAGGCCTGAGAAATGGTGTATAGAACACTATAGACACGTCTGGTAAAGGTGACTGGCGGCTCATCTTGAATGTGTCACTTACTAGTGCTCGTTAGATTTACATTAAGTGATTAATACTCTTAATCATAAATGTGTAGGCCTACAATGTACAGTATGTGGGAAATGGGCCAGCCCATGGGTTAAATTCCTCATCACGGCCCCTGTAGATTTTTCCATCACTATATTGTGATAAAATAATGTGTACAGTAATATGTAACTACTAGTTTGCCACATACTGGCCATTTTATACTTATAAACAGAGGAAGGCTACACCTCGATAGACAAGAATAATTTTCTGCTAGCACACTACCTAGACATGCCTTGTGGATTAGGCCTAGCACATGCCCCCTCCTGCACCTAGTGCAGGTCTTGCTTTCACACCTATAACCATGTTGCACAACATCCTTAAAGTTGTCTGGAATAAGAATGTTGTGCCTCCCACTACTGGATGCAGGTTACCAGGACCTGCAGACATTGTCGTGAAAGCATTGTAGTCGAAGTGTTTCGGCAAAGTGTTTTGGTTACATCCTTGTCAATGTGAAAGGGAGAGGGTAAAAAAACTTGGTACTACTGTATTGATTTATGCAGTTTACATAACGGCATTTTGCATGTTGGCAAAATGCAGGTTCTATACAGGGTTACCTCGGTTTAAGAGTTTAATCCGTTCCTGGAGACCGCTTGTACAGTAATTCGGAAACGCATAAACCAAAGCTAATTTCCCCAGAAGAAATAATTGAGAAATTAATTAATCCATTCCCGACTTCCCAAAAACCTTATTTCAAACAATTTTATACCTAATTAATGTAAATCTACACTACAAAAGTATGTTCAAGTTATTACTTACCCTTGCTGATGACTGCTGTTGGTGTATGGAAGATGGTGAGGAGGAGGGAGGAGGAGAGGTGTTACTGTTTGGAATGGGAGTCTCCTTCCATTATAACATCAGGCAGTGAGGACTTCTCTGGTGTGCACACTCTGGCACGTTTTGCCTGCATACCACTAGGACCTGCTTGTCTTACTAAGAATCTGTCTAAAGATGCTTCTTTTTCCCTACATTTTCTTACTTGTCTGTAGTAAGACATCACATTGTCATTTAAAAGGTCAATGCAACGGCCTGCTACAGCTTTATCTGGGCGAGTTTTTTAAACGAAACTTTGCTGTTTTTCCCATACTTCACACACTTTCTTAATGAAGATGTGACATCCTCTACTCATGACTATTTTCTTAGGTTGAACCTTACCACTGACTTTATTGGGACCCATGGCGAGATATATAATTTGTGCTCAAATGGCCAAAAATCCGACAAAAAACTGTAAATCCTTGTGAAAAATTCAGGCGGGATAGTCACTGGGCGCGAAACACTGGTAAACTGAGGCGTGATCGCTGTGCCACCGTGTGCTAGTCGGCCTGTATGCGTATCAACACCCTCGTCAACCCGAGGCAATCCTCGTATTCTGATGCAAATTTTCTGAGCAAGTCCTGGTCGTATTCCGAAAAACTCGTATTCCAAGGTACCACTGTACTAGATAATCGTGGTCAGGGTCAAATGGGGGCGGGGGGGGGAATTTGTCAAGCTGCTGGCCTCCTGTCCTCGAGGCCACTAGTACCGTATTAGTGGCCCTCGGGTAAACGATGCAACACTGCATAGTCTTCGGTGATCAATGTTTTCGTTTACCAGTCTTGTGGCCACTTGGTAGCATCAGGAATGCATTTTTGTATTGTCTAATGGAAAAAAATGCCGCGTTGCTGTAATGGGCAGTTGCAATGCTTGCAAAAGTCCTCCAAAATCTGGCAAACCTATACCGATTTCTTGCTGTAAATTGACAAGTGGTAATATTTAGTTTAAGTTTGTCAAATGTCCTTATAACATGGGCATTGTCTAGATGCCTGAGCATGTTAATGTCAAGTAATGCATGGCGAAGTAAGGAAATGGTTTCATGTTTGTACATGTAGTCCCTTTGGTAATTTTGGAACAGTTGGACACTGGGAAGTTTTGAACAATATCATGTAACTGATGCCAGTTTGTCCCAACTTTTTCATTGGTTGCTGAACTTCTGGACATCGGCAGCCTATAGCATCGGTGCATTCGACAAGTCTACAAATGTAAGCTGTTCAAATAGACTAGAAATGCAATGAAATGTGAAAGGCTTTGGTTATTTGGGAATTTATTTTTAAAATTGTAGGCTGTGGTTGTGGTTGACAGCTGTGAGGCGCCTGACAGCTGAGTGGACAGCTTTTTGGATTCGTAGTGCTGAGGTTAAGGGTTCGATCCCTGGTGAAGGCGGAGACAAATGGGCAAAGTTTTTAAACCTGATGCCCCTGTTACCTAGCAGTAAATACGTACCTGGGGGTTAGACGGCTGCTACGGACTGCTTCCTGGGGGTGTGTAACAAAAAGGCCTGGTCGAGGACCGGGCCATGGGGACGCTAAGCCCCGAAATCATCTCAAGATATAACACAACCTTCATTACCCATAATGCATCTCTCGGGAGGCGTACTGAAGTTGGCCCAGTTTCTCGTCTCGGGATGCCAAAATAGTATTGAACAGCATCACCCCCACTCCCCCCAACCCTTTCCTTCCCCTAAGTTGGAAAATGGTTGACAAAAAATGCAAACCTGCTATGCATATGTTTAACATTGATGTTGAACTTTGAACCTTGTTGTTGAAGTCTTGGATGTGGTAATGTCCCTAAAACAATAAGTACACACATTGACAATCTTGTAGTGTTTGCATGTAGGTTTCAGGACACTCATGCAGCCTAACATCCCTCCCTCTCTCTCTCTCTCTCTCTCCTACCTCCTTGTTTGGACTATCCTTCTATTCCCTGTCTAGACACTTCTCTTCCTCAGTCCTTCCTGCTCCCCCCCCCCCCGTTTCCTCGCACAGTAAGAGATAATTTAATTATAGTCTGCACCAGCGAGGAAGATTACAAAGTTCTCTTCTGCACGCCATTGTGACAGTGCCGTGGTAGAATGAAGTGACCTCTGCCTTCTAAGATTGTTTGCTAGACTTGTCTGAGCCGAGCTATAAAAAAATTGGATTAACTTTGTAATTTGCTAATTGTATCAAAGATGTGTGCGTCGTGTATCATTGTGGCTGTGACGATGATATTTGTCTGCTGTGTTGCAGGGTGCTCTAATATTTGTTAAGGTTTTTGGTACTCCATTGGAGTGCCTATTAATTGGCTTTGTGGCTCTAGCTTTTTTTAGTTGGAAATGAGTCCACTTCCTGCATTGTTGCAAAGTTTGAAAGATCCATTTTGACCAAGGTAAAGTGACCCAACAGCAGATAGGCAGACGTCGATGTATTGCATGGGGTCACTACACTGGGAAAGCAGCTTGACCCTTTCATGGGGTATGCGGTACAGACTTGCCCTCTACAGCCACAGGTGCATGTGTGGTCCTCGCCACTGTGGTAGGTTTTTTTAGAAGCTCGGCGCAGTATTTGTTGGCATTATTGCGCTGTACTGTTTAGAAAGCATTGTGTAATAATAATAGTAATAATACAGTACTGTATTGAACTTTATATTCAACCTGAATGTAAACTAGTTTTGAAGGGCATTCCAGTAGTTGCACATTTCTATTCCCTTTCCATAATATGCATGCATGCTGTCCACTTACTGTTCCTGCCGGTAAATTGCTTGGATATTTAAACTGCAGGGTATGCCCTGCTTTTCTGTACAGTAGATTTATTTGCTGGTTGGTAAAGAAGTTTTTGTGGTGGCATTAATAGACCTCGAAGTTGATAGGCCTTAAAATGAACACCAAAGGATAATTTGTATAAAAAATTTGATATCCCTACAAGGACCCCTGCTAGTGATTGTATGAATTGGCCAGAAGACAATCATAGACTGTACTAGTTTGTCCCTCCTGAACCATTATCATGGTTCCATCTACTGCTGTGTGGTTTGGTCATCATAGACTGTACTAGTTAATAAACTGCTAAACACTGCCGTCACGTTCAGAGGTCTTGTACTACCCGATGCCTCTCCTTCCCATCCTACATCTGTCACATGTGTGGCATTATTAAGTATTGTGTTGTCAAGTAAAGTGTTCATAAGTTAAGAATGGCATGAAATTTCAGGTAATGCGTGTGCGTTTGTACAGAACCTGGTGATATTGCACAAATTTCAGTTGTAGATAATGTATACAGGCTTGGTGACTGTTTTTTTCGGGAAGGCTGATGATGCAAGTTGTACTTGCAGGCAAGTGTGTGCGTAGAGGTGGAGCTGGCGTGATGGGGGGTGTACTGTCCTCGTTCTTCCAGTCAGGCAGTGCACTCCTGGCATCTGGTAACCACCGCTCGGTGTCGGAGACCACCAAGAACATCCGCATAGTCTTTTGCCTTGAGAGCCAACCCCAGAGTCACTGTCCAGCGGCTGGAAGGCCTCCTCTCGGCTATTCCAAAGGTGAGTCCCTCCCTTTCCCCTCTCTATTGATTCCTGTAATTTAATGTTCTTCAGCATTGGTGAGAAAATTAGTTTAATAATAAGAGAAGCCTTGCCCTGAAAATCTGAGTTGTAGGTATTTGCAATCTGTTTGCAAATTGGCTTGTGTATGTGGGCTAGATTGGTACATACAGTATTCCAATTTGAGTTAGATTTAAATAGTACTTGCATATTATAGCATTTTAAGATTTGTTTACCATACCATATTAACCCATTAGGAAGTTGGGGAAAAAAAAACTTGATTAGCGTTCAATGATGCCGCTTAAATTAGCAGCAACACTAGTTTTCAGTAGTCTTGTCTTTTCAAAAACATTAATCAAATTTAATGGAAAGTTATGTACAGTATTGAAATACTTCAGGATATTTAGGAATAAAATTGAAATGGTTTAGAGCATTACTGATAAATCTTGAATGTCTTGAGGTAACATTAAAATTTATATACCAAATTCAAAATAGTCTTTTTTTTTTTTTAAATGTACTGTAATTTGTCCAAAATTTTTAATTATACATAAGGGACTAAACTGCAAAACAAATTTAGCAAAGTTAAAAGCTTAATAAGTTTAACGTGTCCATTGTTTTCATGGTGTATTTGGTTAAAGTAAGCTGCATTTTTTAACTTTAAGTTAATTATTTGTTTATATTTATCCAAATTAAATGATAAATGTATTTGAACCCATAAATTTGTTTCATTCCTTATTATTGTTTACAGAATGAGAACCTACTGTATGTGCACAATGAAGAGGGCTACAACCTGCTGCAGAAGGTGGTGGGCATCAACAATGTGGAGATGGTGCGATGGTGCCTCACCCGTAACGTTGACGTCAACAGGGGCTTGTGCTCCTTGCCACTACACATCGCTTGCCTTAGAGGGTGAGGGTGAGGTCTTCTGTGGCACATAATGTTGAAATGTTTTGGTAATTAGAAAGTGGGCAAAGATATGTTGGTGGTGGGTGTTAACTTCGGTGCATTCCCCCCCTCCCCCCTCCCTTGCCCTGAAATACTTGTGCGAATCTTCCTGGTCTACGTTCGCTTGACTTCAAATTGACATTAATTCCGAAACGCTTTGCGTAATGGTGGCTTTAGGCATTGTATGTACTAGCTCTATCTATAAATCTATCAATTTTTGTAAAACCTCTTGTATGTATGTACATTACCTGAATAAACATTTATTTTATTTATTGTAATGTTTTAAAGTGATTGTGGTAAAGAGGATAAGTGGAGCAGTAATATAGAAAATCTACCTCTCGGTCAATATGCAGGTCTAGTGAAATGGCAATTTGTCCATAAATTGCTGGAAGAAATGGTTATTTTCTTACTGTTGGGTTTAGTTTCCAGTCGGTCCTGTAACTAATAGTATAAAAATTGAACTTGCCCATAATTTAAGCAGTGTTTCCTGCAGACTAATGATGGATTGGAATTAGTGAGTGCTAGTTGTACTAAGTGCATAAGTGACCTGTAATTTGTTGCGGGGCAGAGGACAGGTCCCCTCCCTTCCCACAAATAAAAAAATTAACTAGCAAAACCTGTGGCAAGATTTTGACTGGGTTTGGTATTTTTATTTATCTTTTAAAATTGCAGAACCATGTTGGCACAAAAATTGAACTACTAAAAATGGCATTTTCCTGTAGTAAAATGTTTTGCTTGTAGTCATGACGCGTTCCTCTCCTACACTAGGAAATGACAATAGCATGTCTGGGGTGACCCACTAATGCTGAGTTAGAGGCCTGTCCTGCTTCAAATGATACTGGCTTGTTCTTAATTTGGCGTTTAATTTTTTCTGCAGGTACGAGGATTGTGGAGGTGCTGCTCAAGCACGGTGCAAGAATAGATGTTGAAGCTCGCATGTGCTGGCCTGGGCCCCACAACCAGAACTGCGAGCAACGGGGGAAATACTGTAAGTACTGCACTGGACATTTCTTGCCGTGGTTATGCCATGAAATAAATCTACAGGTGCCAAAAAAATCCTGAAAATCAGATTCTAGCTCTACAAAAGCTAGTGTAGACTAGTCCCAGATTTAATATCTGGACTAGGTGCAATAATTTTTAGTTGAAGAAACTACTGTACATAAAATATCGGCATTTTGTATTGCTGCCGAATAAATGAGGATTTGGCATTAGAATAATTGGGTGTACCACTTGACCCTTAAAGGAAGTAGTGATAAATGATAGAGGGTATTGATTTTTTTCCCAAAAACATTGATTCCTGTGTTCAAAAGGTGTACAAGAGTGCAAAAATAAATGTTGACACTCTCATGGGCTGGCCGAGGTACCAGAACTGCTAGCAAAGGGAAAATGCCGTTAGAAAAATTGGGTACAAATCCCTTGCACTCAGATCTTCATCAGTGTGCCAACAAACGTACTGACTTTGGCCCTTTGCCTCGGATAGCTTGGGGAAGAAGTTGTGAACACTGTTCTTTCTAGATTGGTGTGGAAAAATAAGTTTCATAAGGCCCACTTTGATGTGCAGTAGTGGCATGTGGATCCTCCAGGGGTCCACCCGTGGCTCCCACTTAACATTTTGCTGTGGTGGGGTGCTGCCTGCGGTAGTGTGCCGCAGTGTCCCTGCTATCCCCAAGGCAAAGATTGGGGGGGGGGGGAAGGGGATGATAACTTTGTAAAACTGCCTTAGAGACTCATCAGCGCTGTCCCCATTTTTTTTTAAGTGTCTTTATCTCCCAGCGATTTCCCCCCCCCCCCCCCTCTGCTCTAAGTGAACAATATCCTGTGCTTTTTGTGAAGCTGTTTAATCTTGCTTTTGTGAAGGTGTGCCTAGTGCCTTGCTTAAAAAAAATTCTCTGCTAAATTCATTTTAGGTTTGTGGGGCATAGTAAAGGCACGAGACATTGCTGTCTTTTATCAACGTTGTCACGGATGGCTTTCCTCGGCTGAACGAACTTGCACGTAACGGTATGTTACTGGGGGGGGGGGGGGTGCTTTTCCACTTAGTCCTTTACAATAATGGCTGACTTATGAAAACTGTGCAGCTGTATGCAGTCTTAAAATTATTTATATTCGTTCTGATTTTTTCTCTGCTCCGTATGGAACTGTACTGTACCAGCCTTGACTCGGCAAACCTACTTGTGTGCAGTCCTCCTTAAGGGGCCGTAATGCGATATATTCAGAGTTGTTCAATGTCGACCAAACGTTTAATAGTTGTACATGGAAAAGGGCTGAGACTGTTCAGTTTCAGTATTACAGCCTAAATAGAAAGGGATATTTTTTCCCCAAAGAATTTCTTATTTTTTAAATAAACTGTACAATCAAAAGCTTCAAATGAAATCATGTCTAACACTCAAATTGGCATATAATAAAGGATTTAACTTTCAAGATTATCCAAAATGTTTAGTTTTACTAATACAAATAGTTCCCCCCAAAATTTATGCAAATGTTTTTGTTTTTATAGTTATAAACTTGGTGTCTTAACATTAATTGTAGACACACTCCAAAGTTTCATGTAAATTGAATAAAGAGTACAGTAATTTTATATTAATTAACAATAAATAGTCAGATTCTGTGACCTGTGGCTGAGGTTGTCATCAACCAATTTGCTCCAAAATTGGCACGTCTTACAGATAGACATATGTACAGTAAGGTATTCACCTAGTTGTGTTGAATACCTTACTGTACATATGCCTATCTGTAGGCATAAGCTGTAAGTCTCGTGCAAATCACCTGATAAAAAATGAGATTAGAAATATTTTTTTTTTTGGGGGGGGGATAAAACTAATTGAAGTACTTTAAGCCATCACAATAACACATTAGTCAGACATGATTTCAGTTGAAACTTGTTTGGTGTTTAATTTTTAACCATTTTGGAAAATGTTTGAATTTTTTTCTCCCTATTTATGCTATGATGCTGAAATTTGGTCCCGTTGAAGCACTTTTCATATACAGCTAGTCAAAAAGTTTGATTGAAATTGAACCAGTTTTCATTTATTGCATATTTTTGCCTTATGGCCCCTTTGTCACACTGGAGGACAATGTACATACATTTGTAATTTGACAAATCCCATGGTATTAGTTGTTGGTTCTGTAGGGGGGGGGGCAAGGAGGAAAGGAAAAATTCAAGTCTTGAGATTATCTTGATGATTTCGGGGCTTTAGTGTCCCCGCGGCCCGGTCGTCGACCAGGCCTCCACTCCCAGGAAGCAGCCCGTGACAGCTGACGAACACCCAGGTACCTATTTTACTGCTAGGTAACAGGGGCATAGGGTGAAAGAAACTGCCCATTGTTTCTCGCCGGCACCTGGGATCGAACCCAGGACCACAGGATCCTGGGTTCTGGGAGGCAACAATTCAACTATTATCAGAGACTGAACAAATGTGTTTACATCATAGTCATGTTCGTTTTATACGTACCAGTATTTCACTAAGAACCGTTAAACAAAACTGTGGTAGCCTTGCACCTCTTCATCCTTAGTTTAGACACTTTGAAAAAGCTGTCTCCATAAATCATCTCCTGATGACTAGCATCATTTCACAGACCAAAAGTTTACATGTTTACCTTGCTGGCAGAGAATGCACACTGCAACATTAAGTGGAGTTAAATCTCTGAGGGGAGAAAACCATGACCTACTGAGGATGCATATTAACAGTCTGATCTGCATCAGAGATTCCCCTGAAATATAATACAAAGCTAAAGTGCTAGTATGTATGTTGCCTCACAGCTTTCATTAATTTAACTGTGCCTTCTGGCACACCTCCAAATGTAGAGCTAAGGGGATTAAACCCTGCCATCTATAACATTTACATAAAGCCCTGAGAACATTTCTTCCATTTTACCAACCTTTATCATCACAAGAAAAGCCTTCACAATCTGGAATAAGATCTAAGTAGCACCACCTGCTTCATTTTCTATGAATTGAATAGCCATCAACATAAAGCCCACTGCTTTAACTCCAGGATTCTGCTTTCACCCCATTGGCAGAAGTCATTGCAGAGGACAAATCACAAACCCTTTCATAGGGTTCACCCCTCACCTACATGCACAATACTCTTAAAATGGAAGTTAAAATCTCACTTTTGCCACAGGAGCCCAAGCAGTGTGATCATTAGAACTGTACATTAGAAAATACCAACAAACTCTACAATAAATATACATTAAAAGAGTAGCTGATGTAATTAGTCTTATTGACAAAATAGCAATGATTTATGCAGATGTCATCTAAAATTCAACGTTCCACAACAGCTTTATCTTCATCATGCCCTGGCAAAAACATCAGCGGGAACATTCCAAGAAGGCAGCCTACAACCACACCAATACCTCGACCATTTAAACTCGCAGCATTAGCAGACCATCTTGCGGACCATCTATCCAGCTGTTCTTGGCACAGATCAGGGGCTCGAATACCGATCTTGACGGCTATGTTCTCAATGTACCAGGCAGAGCCTATGCCAGCAAGGTCACTGATGGTATTGCCAAGTGCTGCAGCTCCCATTGTACTTATGCCAAGTGCAGTCCCAATTGTCACATAAATATAATCACCAGCAACTATCATGATGTTGTCGAAATCCAAAACCAATAAATGGTAGCGCATTATGAATATCCAACTGTCGCAGCTCGGCACCAGTAAATTTACGTAAATTTGAAGTTTACGTAAATTTTTCTTAGTACATGGTACGTCTAACTCGAAGAAAAATTCCAATTGGGGCTACTAGCAAGCTAAGTGAAAACAACAATGTATCCTGTAACTACAGACAAGTGGTGATTGTTCTCCACTTGTTCAACACCGCAGGAGACACTGCAGCTTACAAGCTTCACACCTGTAGGGTCGCTCCCAGAACTGTTCCACTTGACCTGTTGGGACTTGCCAGACCAACGGAGGGGAGTGTGAGGGAGGGAGGCATGCTGTAGACTTGAGCTCTTGGAGTGCAGGCGTAAACGAGGCTGCAACTGGTAGAACACATCTGGATCAACAATGAGAGCTTGCCTCTTTGGATCCTGGATCATATCTTAAGTTACTGACACATGTTAGCCAGGTTTTGGCTCCAGTTACTCAAACCATCACTCGGGTGACCTACTGTCACAACAAGATGCCACACTAACACAGATCTCCTCCTTGACTTGACTGTACCCGTGGTCTACACGGGAGACCCAAGGCGAGACATGTTAATGACTATGATAGTCACTTGACAACCATAAGGGAACTCAAAAGGGTGACTCCTGGGTACTTGACACCCAGTATTCCATGGTTTCTTACAACTAAAGGCTGTACTTTACCTGTACATTTTCATTGTTTCTTCAAGGTGCAGGGCCATTATTCCTCGTTTCTTTCCTCTTCGAGCTTCTGCTTGTTCCCGACTTCCTCTTCTTGGTATATGTTCATGTCTTTACAAAGACCAGCCCCATCTCTCCTCGACCTCTCTCCGTGGTCTGTTCTGTCTGACTTGCCAGTGTGGCTGTCCCGGGGCTATTCGTAGCGAGTTCTACATGTTGGTCGGTGTAGACCCTCCACACTGTCCATAAACAGGTACAACTGTGTGTTGAGGTTAAAGATAAACATAAGTGGGGTGTACATGGTCACAACTCAAAACATCCCTGAAGGGATTTACAAAACGGGCAGACCAACAACGACAAGTGCATAGTTATAGCGGTGCCTTACCTAACTAGCTAAACATAATGTACAATACGTGTGGAAAGCAGAAATTGGCCACCTAGGGTGGATAGTCTGGTTTTCGATCTGGTCTGCATGGCATGGGTAGGTCTAACATGTCCACTCAGCAACTCTAACAGGGGATCACTTTCCTCTTCTGTGGCCTCATTGGTATCCTGATTGTCTAGCTCTGCATGGGGCAAGTGTAATTCTTCTTTGGGGTGGAATATTTTTAATTTGTTAACATAGACCAACTTTTGCTCCCTATCATAAATGTTTGATTAGGACATTTACAGAGCCAG